AGCGTTTTACTTCAGCTTTGTAACGATATTGTGTGTGACTCATCAATGCAACTTCACAATACTGATTAGTAAAGGTTAGTTCTTACTGTTGTATCTCACAAACGCTACGTGAGACCTTCTTCCTTTAAGTCTGTCTGTTGTCTGACGCAGCTGAGGGAGGAGGCATGTAGAAACAGTGGGCAGGCAGAGCTCGTCTTAAAGGCGCAGTACGACAAAACCACCCCCTGCTGGAAATTAGTATAAAACAGCATCTTGTAAAAGGTATAATGAAAAATCTGATGGGTGTTTTGATCTGAAACTTTATATACACATTCTAGAGACGCAAAAGACTTATATTAAATCTGAAAAAATGGGTAACCTTGGTGCCCTTTACATCACTATTCAAAATAAGGTTATAGATTTACAGTATATATGTTTGTATTTACATTAGTTTTTTAAAGCATTATTAAGAACTCCAAACAGTTGTCAAAAATCAACTTGAATGTTCCCAAAATTGTGTATGTTTTTGATTGAGATAAAGTTGAGTTGGCTCCTTTAGACAGATTCTACCCATTGTTGCCTTCACTAAACAACTCTTAAGCTTTCTTCAGAGTAGTGCTGAATGTATTTACAGTGCATTTGTGTCAGGCATCTTCTGCCTTGGACTTGTCTTGTCACATCCGAATGTGATGAACTTTTCACCCTGTCAAAGTCAGAAAAGTTGCCAGAAAAAGTGTTCCCAGTAAATAATTCAATGCCTTCAATGTAAAACATTCGAAGTCGAGAAGCGCAAATGCATTCATGGGGATTTTTTCTGTCATTTTCCATCACGCAGCAAAAAATAAATAAATAAATTGGTGGCAAAGTCATATCGGTTCTTAGTCTCACCTCATCTCGCATGTTCAAAATGCATATTGACAATGAAAGGTTGTATATGATTATTATTCAGCTGGGCCAGTAAAGAAGTCTATACAGATGGCGCATGCTATAAAATATGTCCGTTACGCTCCTCATCAAGGCAGTGTTTATGGCAGGCGGCTTGCAAAGCAGAAGGTCAGGCATAATGAAAGTATTAAGCTTATGCATTCAAACATGAGCAAACTTTAAACTCAACAAAGAGAAGCAGTAGTAATTCGCTTGTAAATGTACTAGGCATTAAAGGGATAGTTTGACTAAAAATGGACATTCCTTCATTCCAGACTTTCTTTCCTCTGTGGACCACAAAAGGAGATTGAGCAGTGTTCTAGACGCTTATTTTCTTGCAGCTTAAAGTAATGTAGACTGGGTTCAAGGTTCCAATTCATATATTCCATGTCACACTACAGTTTTGTGTGAGGAAAAAGTCCTTATTCAATTAATTTTCTCCCCTACAGTGAGCTAAGGCAACCTGACTGATTTTTCAGTGGGTTTTTATTTACACAACAAAATACAAACTTACAAGTTTTATGTACATATGTATATAGTACAAGTAAATGTTTACTGTAAATATATCTTTGATTAGTAGTATGGATAGCTAGGTGAAGTTTATTTATAAACTTATTTCCAGAGGATTGCATGCTTATGGTTGACCACAGCTAGACCCGCATTAGCCAATACATTAGCTAATAAAGTCCTAAGTCACTAAAAATAACCATGAAGTCATCTTCATTTTCAAAAATTCCCCCTTCCTCCTCTATTCCTCCTCCTTTTTCTTAGATTGGATGGCACGATGGTCTAGTGGTGAGCACTGTTGCCTCACAGCAAGAACATCACTGGTTTTAAACCTTACTAGGCCAGTTGGCAGTTCTGTGTGGAGTTTACATGTTCTCCCCATTCTCATGTGGGTTTCCACCAGGTTACTCGTTTCTTTTTTAATCACCATCCAAAGACATGCGTCAAAAGTAAATAGACAAAATCAATTTGGCACTATAGTCAAGTTTCTACCCAATAGTATTTTTCCCTCATAAAGCAGTTCATCATTAGCCAAAAATAAGCAGCGAATTCTCAAGCGCTACCTGAGCTTGATCTCCCCTCTCACCCTACAAACGGGAGGGAGCCCAGGGCTTGAGAATCTTTTGAGATCAGGCTCTCTCCTGCGAAAGCATGCCAAACAAGCTCATAGTCAATCATCAGCTAACTGTAAACTATTGAAAAATTTGGACAACTTCAGACATGGTTTTCTTAATATTTAGATTTTTAAAACCCTCATATATATCATCTAATCTCAATCAAATATTGATTTAACAACCCACATATCAATGGAAAATTAATTTATTCAGCTTTTAGATCTCAATTTAGAATATTCTTATTTGTGATCAAAGGTCATACTGTATAACTCCGAAGACATAATCAGATATGGTATACACACTGAAAAAAAAAAATATTCAGAGATTATTCCTTGGATTTGCTCTTTTTTTTTCACGTTAAGTGGTTGTAAACAAATTATTTGTGTTGAATTTAAACAAACAAATTAAGTTGAACATTATTAAACTTAATTTGTTAGTTTAAATTCAAAACAAATAAATTGTTTGCAACAGTTCTGCATGCAACAGTTTTTTCAGTGCATAATGAATGAGTTTTTTTTTTTTTCTTTGGCACTTTGTGTATCCATGTGAACAACATTGCCATCTGCATGCAACACTTTAAAAAATATTTTTTTGTTTCTTGTCACTGTTTTGTGACAAACATAACCCACCGAATTGTTTCGTGAACCAACTATTTTGTTCCATTCTGAAAGACTCACCATTATGCCCTAATCTCTTCAAAAGCAACAAAGTATGGTTGAAGTGCTAATGTTGTGTCCAAATGTGTTTCTGAACCTGTCCTGCAAAGTTTAGTTCCGACCCCAATCAAACGCACATGAACCTTCTCAGCAAGATCTTGAGACTCACATGTAACATCTAAAATGTGTTGGAGCTCAAATTTGCAAGATAGTGCTCCTCCTGGAGCAGGATTGGATAGCCCTAGAGTAGGGTAAAGTCTAGATAGACCACACGGCCGGTCGAAAGTGCAATATGCACATCAATATAACAGCATTTTTTTTTTTATGAAACTGTATAACAAGAATTAATATTTTTACAGTACTGTGTTTTGGGTAGGGGTAGACTTTAAATACAATTTGTTGGTTAATTTAATTAACATAAAATAATACTCAGTACAACTACTGTTTTTATTTTACTGTGACGGTTGGGTTAGGGGTAGACAATAATAAAATACAAATGATGGGAAACTTAACAAACAAGATAAATCTTTTTTGTTAACTTCCTGCCACAACCATATCTGATCTAGCAACAACCCTGTAGTAGAGGCTCAACAAAACTGTTCCATGGAACGCATCATGAAATGCATTCATTGGAATGCAGACATCTTACATCATCTGTATCACAGATTAAATTTAATATTTTATTTTGAAAGGGACCTTTAAAGATTGGCTGACTACAAATTCCACTTTGAAGGTGGATTCATATATTTGGAAAACAAAACATATCTGACATAAATGGACAATTTAATGAATGAAAAGCATTACTCCTCTCTCAGCTCAAAATCTTATGAACATAAGAGCATAAAGGTGAATTGTGGAAGAAAAATTATTTCAGAAGACTTTTTGTGCATAGGTTTTAGGCTACTGGGAATGTTTGGAAGTTTTAAAAGCTTTAGTTGATAAAAAAATATTTCCATTTGTTTTTCTCTAACTGTAAACCAAAATGTGTAAAAAAAAAAAAAAAACGGTGAAAAACTGACATCAATGATTGCCAGACTTTCAAAATTTAAAATAAAGTAAACATTTAATCTATACATTGTTCTTTTGTGATATAAAGACTAGAGGTGTGAACCTATACTCCTCTCACCGTTCGGTTCGATTACGATTATCATGCCATGAATTTGGTTCAATTCAAAATCTCGCACACACAAACACACACATAGACACACAGCAGCAAGCTGTCTCTCATTCACACACATACACAAACATAGACACCACCAAACAAATAAACACACACACAAACACACTCATGCGTGCTTGCGTGCTTGCTTGCTCGGCAGTGACATTGTGAGGCCGCCATCTCCTGTTCAAATTACACCAGAGTTTTTTTCAAATTTATTTCCGCACCGCATGAAATCTGGTCGGGTCCCGCAATGCAGATCTGTATCGAGAAGTATCGCTGTAACAGCGAGAGAGAGGAGAGGAAAAGTGACGCTAGCAGCTGAGAGGAAAAGTCACGCCAGCAGGTGAAATGGACCACAGTGAGAGAGAGAGAGAGAGAGAGAGAGAAAGAGAGAAAAATGTTCACTTTCATTCATTCAATGGCAGAAAAATAGGGGCTTCTGCTGTAAGTGTCAGTGAAAGACTATCCAGAAAACACACACACGCGGTGAAATTGTGCACAGTTGCTGCGTTTTTAAGTAGTTGGCGCCTTGAGTGTTGTAAATACCCGTGCTCACCTTCCTGGCGATTGAGCGCATATGAGATAAATGACGTCAGTACACAATAACCGGTTGTGATTATTACTGAACCGATACCATATTGTCCGCGTCTGCATCGCGCTGCACAGAAGAAACAATTAATTTTGACACCCCTAATAAAGACAAAAACCCTTCCAAAACCTGGTGGTGATTATATGATGAACCAAAGCTTATCTCAATGTGCTTTTCCAAAAGTGCTTAAAAAAGCAGTGACAATAATTATATTGACATTACATTACATAAAACTCTAATGTACATAACTGATGAGAGAAACCAAAGAACCAGAGTACAGTCAAAATCATAAAAGAGAAATGCCATGCAGGAAATTCTGGGAAAGTTAATTTATGTTTATTCACAATTCATAGAATGGAAACATACTGTTAAATCATGTTCACAGCCATTTTTACATAGAGAAGTGTACACAAGTTGATGCAAACTTTTGTATAATCTGTTACTTTATTAATGCTAGACTTGAAAAGTGTATGCTGATGATTTTGTGCTTTCAAGCCTTTTTAATTCTCTCTCTTTTCCCTCCCTTCATCCCCATTCCTCCATCTCTCTTCTCCATTTCATGCTCTCAGAGGCGGCGACAAAAAACAAAGTGAAAGGTGAGTTATCTTCTCTGTCTTTGCAGCTGGATGATTTATGTTGAACACAACTCCCAATAAACAATGTGCTGTTCGGCCCCCTCTTATCTCCCAAAGGAGCCTGGCATGCATTTACATAGCTTCTGCCTATGAGAAAGCAATCCTAGAACCTTTGATAAATTGGTCCTAGGAATATCCATTATGAGCTAAATCCGGTCTACATGCTTCCCGGGTTAACCGAAAACCTGTGCTACATGTCACCACTGGATTTTGCACAGTTTATGGTCAATGTTGCTGATTAATTGTACATCTACTAAAGTAGAAACAGTTTGTCTTGCGTTTGTGGCACAGAAGTGAATTCTTTGAGAACATGGCTACTGTTCTATGTCATGCTTTAACTCAAAACCTTCGATTTAGTCGTGAACCACCCACAATCCAGTTTAATCAAGTGCTAAATGTGTTGTAATAACTCCACAGCAAATTTAAATGGAGTTACTGTAATGTTCCTCAATGCAAACACGCCCCCTTTCAATAAAGGCCTGTGGATTATGCTTATTATAGAAGGCACCTCATTCACAAAAGTCTGTGCTATTTGCCTGTTGCAATTAACATTGCACTTTTACCACCCACAGGAAGTAGGAGGAAAATGGAATTTAATTTGAAACAGAGTTTATGTGCTTTTTCAATAGATCTTGGCAGCCGATATTCATTCAGTGGTGGAGAAAGTCAAACATCTAATTGTGTGATGTAGGAGCAGGATTTGTCTCTAAATATCTGTGAAACGGGGGGATGGGGGGTAGAGTGGAGGGAGGGATGGTGGTGGCGACAGTGGTCAGAGTAAAAAGTTAAGGGGGGGGGCATTAAGTATTTTACGTGTTGTCAGTTTAATGCCTTGTACAAATTCGTACAAGTTCAGTCGTGCCATTCAAGATTTTAAAAAGGAGGCGTGGCACCCAACCCCACCCCTAACTCCAACCATCATTGGAAGATGAGCTAATTGTACTAAATTGTACAAATTAGATGATACGGATTCATACGAATTAACCACTAAATCAAAAAAGTTACGAATTGCCGTGAGACTGTGTTGGATGGGAGTGTATATTAATAGCCCCTTTCACACATACAGACCTTTCCGGAAAATTACCGGCATTTTCCGGAAAGGTTGTATGTGTGAACAGGCCCTTTTTGAAAATACCGGTAAATTCGTTCTGGCTATTTTCCGGAAAGAGAAGTTGTAACATTACCGGTAATTTGCCGGAATGCTGCGCTGTGTGAATGCAGAAGGAAGATTGCCGGAAAGAGCGGGTCCACGTCTAGAACGTGCTGACGTGAGACACCTGCTTTAGCCAATCAGATCAGTCAGACGAATTCACGTGCGTGCGGTTTATGAGAATAAAAGACTTTGAATATTTTTCCAGACACCTTTAGCTGCTAGATGTTAGTCAGATAAAGTTTCTATGTTCCTTCTTAATGCTATCTGTGTAAATAATTATCGATAAAATGTTTATGATAATCCGTTGTTTGTTTACCTTCAATCTTTGCGTGTGCCTGTGAGCGCCCATAGCGCCAGAATACACACATATCATGAACATCTCGACAAGCGAAAGTGTTCCTCTATATGTTTTCATTGGAGTTGTACTCAATACTGATCCATCCAAAGAGTTTGTAACGTAGTCAAATGTTTACAAACACAAGCGCAGCCGTTTAGAGGTCATTTCTGGTTGATGATGTTAGAATTTACCGGCATTTTGCGATGGATGTGTGAATGCTCTTTTCTGGAAAAATTCCGTAACGTCCTCGCCTGTGTGAACAGCGCTTTTTTTAATTTACCGGTAAAGTCGCTCCGGAAATTTTCCGGATATTTACCGGTATCACTGTGTGAAAGGGGCTAATAACTGTACCATGGACTGGTTTTTGTATGCTGCTGGTGATACGTTGAGAGGATGCTCGCTGCAGAGCCATTTGAGGAGAGCTGAGCTCCAGCGAGGGGGAGCATGAGCTGTCGCTCCTCCTCCTGTAAGCTGTTTTAATGCGTACACCAACCCCACTCCTAACCCTACCCCCAGTGACATCACTCGTAGAAGAAGTGCAAAAAAGGTGGAGCTCAAGCTTAAGCTCCCCCTCGCTGGAGCTCAGCTCTCCTCAAATGGCTCTGCAGCGAGCACCACTTGGACACGTTAGCATTGTTGTCCTCTTGAGGGGGGTGGGGTGGCATGGGATGGGCTAATTGATGGGGTGTTGGGTGGGGTGTGCAATTACAGAAGCTTTTCAGGAGAAATAACAAAATGGTAGGGTGGCAGGAGATAGGTGTAATATACCTGTATGCATCCCAGTAACATTTGGCAGATTAGTCCACCATATCTACATCCATGCAAATAAAATGAGGCAATTAAACTTTTAAAAACAATAAACAAGATTTTTAGGTCTTCAACAAATCATAATTACCTTAATCAATAAGTTCTTATCAAATTAGGGTTTCCTGCAAGGACAGAACAAGCGCATTAACTAGACTAGCAGAGGTAGAGATCTACAGTGGTTCAAGTAATAAAAAAGTATCTACACCACCACTTTGTTAAACCAAAGTGACCTAAAGAGGTGAGCTATCTGTCCCATGTGTAGGCTCATAAAATAGTGATAGATAACAAGCCCTCTTTTTTTTTTTGTGGCCTCTGGAGTACCCCTGTGAACCAAGAGCTTCAAAACAAAACTCAAAATACTCCCAATTGTATTTCTTACCAAAGAATCATTTGTAACAGCTTGGAAAGCTGAGGATACACTAATTGTAAAACCAGACCAAACAGCAATTGAAAGAATGGTCCTACTTGTGCAATAGTGATGGCTGCTTTTGAAGAACCAGTTCATGAAACTTGTTGATTTAACAGCAGTGGTTTGCAGTGCTTTTTAAGTTGGCAAGGTCATGTTATAACAGTAACAGGGCTTCATTATGCCATTACTGTTTCAAAACATTTCAGTAACTTGATGGGTTTAAAATTGGGGGGTGATGTGTCAAATTCCATAACATTTACATGAATCATTTTAGAATCACTAAACAGGTTTCATAGTTTTTACCTGATCCCAGACCTCAAGTTTATGATGTTTTAATGGGAAGCTTGTAAAACAAAAAGGAAATATTATGTAGCAGTCTCTTGTTGTCCTAATTAGCTGAACCCACAAAGGAAAAAATCATAAAAGTCACGAAAAAGTATTTAAAAACTCCTATTACGCAGACGCTTTATATTGAATTACATTACATTATACGCTGTGTATTTTATAGGTTTTAGTTTCAATTTAACATTTGCACTGTGTTTGAAAAAGACAATTGCAAGTCCATGGTGTAAATGTCAGTCTAGGAATTTACATCATTTTGACCAGCAGATGTCCCTAGTAGGTTTGGGTACTGAAACCTGGTGCCATTATGGCACTGGTACCTATGTAACTGGTGTGCACTGGACCAAATCAGCATATGGATTTCAGTGCCTAATTTTGGTGCCATTGGTGCTGCGACATGAACCATAAGAAGCATCAAGGGGTACATCAAAACCACACATAGGTTCGCGTTGTGCCACGCTATCTCTAAACATTTCAGTCTAAACAACTTTGAGGCGTACGGACACCGTATGCAATGTTAGGCATTTGTTCTTGTTGCTTAGAGAATACACGCACATACAGTGGGTGACACATGTTTTACAGCAGTGACTCACTTCAGATTTATCAACAGTGATGGTCGCGTTCATCAAAATTGCTTAAATTTGCTAATTTTTTCTCTCTATTTGGTGTGCTGTATCAAATTCCATATTCCAAAACAACAGTCTTCCACCAGTTCTTACTTCATATTCTCATCCAATACCTCAGTTTGTCATGGGGCATGAAAAATATGTTGCTGAATGAAAGTGAAACTGCTGAACTTATTCAGAATGAGACAAATAATTAGATTACTGATGTCCTGTGTTGGGCGAGGCAGTGACACAGTAGTTAGTACTGTCGCCTTACAGCAAGAAGGTCGCTGGGTTGCTGGTTCAAACCTCGGTTCAGTTGGTGTTTCTGTGTGGAGTTTGCATGTTCTCCGTGCCTTCGCGTGGGCTTCCTCTGGGTGCTCCGGTTTCCCCCACAGTCCAAAGACATGCGGTACAGGTGAATTGGATAGGCTAAATTGTCCGTAGTGTATGAGTGTGTGTGTGGATGTTTCCCAGAGATGGGTTGTGGCTGGAAGGGCATCCGCTGCGTAAAAACTTGCTGGATAAGTTGGCGGTTCATTCCACTGTGGCGACCCCAGATTAATAAAGGGACTAAGCCGACAAGAAAATGAATGAATATCCTGTGTAAACGTAATCACAAACCCCAACCCTAGAAAAAAAAAAAAGTGTTCCCTGACTTTGATGAGCCTTTCTGCAGGTTAGTAGTAAGCTAATGTAAAGTTAATTGCATAATGCAAATCTGGAATTCATGCTTACAAATAAATGATCAAAATTAAATATATTAATGCACTTCAATTCAAATATACAAAAGATGAATTGACGCATACTTTAATTATATTGTTCAATTAAAATGATAATTTTATTTATTTTTTTTTTTTGTCAAATAAAAGATTTTTTTAGAGTAATCCACAATAATTTTGTGACTCAAATGTATTGGTTGAGGCACCGGTATCATTTTTGAAAGTATTGATTTAGCACCGGTATCGAAAGAGCCCCAAACGATACCCAACCCTAGTCGTAGCATTTGTTGATGTGAATGCTTCGAAACAAGTTTTTTTTTGGGAAGCAATTGGTTCTATTGTTTTAACGACTTGAAAAGCTTAATTTCTCCCAACACTACATTGTGTACATTTGTTTTTGTTTGTTTTGTTTTTAGGTGCCTGAATAACTTGTAGAGATCTTAGAGAAGTTGCAACATGCACAGTTTCCTGCTAGCCAAAGATTACACTGCAGTATTCTAGCAGTGAAATAACTCTGGCCTAAATTAGGAGCTGGCTACAGAGGTATTCGAGAAAAGGCATTATATTCCTTGAAATGGAATGGCAC